GATCTGCCTGTTCTGCTCCCCTCTCCCTCTGGTGGATCCTCTCACCCTCTGCATCTCTGGCCTGTACCCCAGTTGTATATGAATAAATAAATAAATCTTTAAAAAAAAAAAAGTGTTCTTTGTACCTTCCATCACATGCTAGCCACTGATAAGTGACTTAACATTTTCAGATATAAAGTCGTGCAGCAAAAGCCAACGCCATGGACGCAGGATTTCACACCTGGTCCAATCTGGGTTTTTTGTTGTGTTTTGTTTAGAGAAAGAAAAAGTTTATTAAGGAGAAAAGGGACAGAAATGGAGTGGGACTGGGGGGTGAGGGGAGGGTGGAACCAGGCTAGGGGTCCAGGGAAGCTGGGGCTCTGTTCGGACAGATGTGAACCGCAGGTGGGGTGCAGGCGGTGCAGGCTGGGCGCTGCCAGCTCCTTGTTTACTCAGTGCAACTCCCAACTTTGCTCAAGATGCTGCCATGCCAAAATTGACAGCCCTGGTTTGGAGCGTCTTTCACAAGACAATGGCCATCATTTCTCAAGAGCTGGCTTCGTCTGGTGCGGAAAACTGGGGCTGTCCCAAGCAGCCATCCTCTCAGCAACCCCAGGAGGCAGGTCCTCCCGCGGCCCCACTTTGCATTTGGAACTGGTGCGGAGACTTGAGTAACTGCGGGCCACCTCAGAGGGGAAGGCGCCCGTGCCAGGCCCTCTGGCCCCAGGCGCGCCCTGAGCCACTAGATGCGCTTTTCCTTTGTGAGATGTTTTTTTCTTTCTGTTTCACCACAATTCTCTCTTCCATTTATTTCGCAATTCTATTCCCGCTTTTCCCTTTTGCCTGACTTCCCTTTGTATTTTACACTTAAGTTGAACCTCCTTTAGCTGAGCAGTACCTTGCCTTACTTCAAGTACTTTAAAGGGTGTTTAAAAATAGGTCTAGGGCCCTCCCTGGTGGTGCCGCCTTGGAGTGCAGCACTACTAAGCTACCTGCAGCCACTGCAGCCCAGCTGGAGCTGGATACTGGCCAGGGAGTGACCCACAGACCCCTCCTGACCCGCCTGCTGCCCCTCAGCAGGGCACTTCCTCCATCTGCCTGTTCTGCTCCCCGCTCTGTCTCTGGGAATCCTCTCCTCTCCTCCCCCACACCTCTGGCCGTGTCCTTGTGTCCTTGTTTTTGTCCTTTACAAAAACAGTCAAAATCGGTCTTTGGCTTGGTGACTCATTTGGCTTCATCAGGAAGATTTCTGCTCAATACA